TGGGCACAGGGGCACTGGGCACAGCAGGGTGGAGAGATCCCAGCAGCATCCCCAGCACAAGGCAGGACAGGAAGGAAAATGGGAAAATGCCCAGTAGGGGCTGAGGGTTTTAGTGCCACACAAGGAAGAGTTTTTCCCCCTTTCCCATCACCATAAACCCTCAGGAGTTTCAGCCCATCCTGCACTAAGGCTGACCCCCAAACCTCAATCCCCGCGTCCTGTGGATGCTCCAAGCCCCAGCGTGTGGTTTTTGTGTCCTGATGGGGAGTGAGGAGCCACTGCCAGGGGTGATCCCAGGGCAGGGAGGGGTCAGCGCTGCTGTTCAGGAGCTCAGGGCACGGTGCTGGGGCACCCTCTGAGGTTGCCCCATTCCTCCCTCCATGCTCAAAGCCCGCACAAACCCCACCTGTGGCAGGTCCCCCTCAGGTTCCCGGACACCTCGCTGCGTGCCCTTGTCCCCAGCTGCCCCCAGGCAGTCCCAGAGCCCGTCGCGGTGCCCGGGGCTCCAGCAGCAGTGGGGTTAAGCCCGGCCGGGCGGGAGCCTGGACAGGCGTCAAGGTGGTTGCTCCATCCATCCCTGCGCAGTCCGAGGGGCCGGAGAGCGGAGCGGGAGCGGGAGCCCTGCCCTGCCCTGCCCGCCGCCATGAGCGCAGGCAAAGGTGAGGCTGGAGCTGCCCCTCGGCCTGGGGGGACCGCAGGGACCGGGGGGGACACGCTGGGGCTCTGCCCGGGCTCCGGGCACCCTTGGCTCTGCTCCTCCTCCGCTGCTAAGCAGACATTTTGGGGGTCCCGAGCTGCCTGGGGGGCTGCAGGGGCTGCGGGGCAGAGCCCAGACGTGGATGGGAGTGCGGGGATGGGCAGGGATCGGGCACCGGTACCGGGATCCTTCGGTGCCCAGCGAGTCCAGGGACACCGGGGGGGAACGGGGAGAGGGGTCCGGTCCGGGGCCCTTTCCCCATGAAAGGGAGGAGCTGCTGCTTCAATATGGGGATGAATTCGGGGAGTCCCTGCACCCGAGGGGTCACAGCAGCACTGGGGGGGGGGGGGGGGGGGGGGGTGGTGGGATCTTGGACCGTTTCCCAGGGGATCCAGCTCTGAAAACTCCCGCAGCTGCAGGGCCGGGAGTGACCCCTTTATTCCACCCAGTCCCGGCGGTGCGGGCACCCACCAAGGGGTAGCACAAGGGGTCTCACGGGGGTCCCACGGGGGTCCCAAGGAGGTTCCAAGGGTGTCCCAAGGGGTCCCCAGGGTGTCTCAAGGGGGTCCCGGGGGGTGTCCAAAGAGGTCCCAAAGGGTGTCCCACGGGGGTCTCAAGGAGGTTCCAAGGGGGTCCACAGGGTGTCCAAAGGGTGTCTCAAGGGGAGTCCCAAGGAGTCCCAAGGGGGGGTCCCAAGGGGGATCCCAAGGGGGTCCCCCAGAGCAGCCGCAGCCCTGCCCTGACGCTGTCCCTTCTCTCGGTCCCCAGCAGGCATCCCCCTCCTGCTCCCCCTGGCCCTGCTGCTGGCCGCGGCCTCGCAGCCCCCCGGCGGGGACCCCCCGAAGGACGGGGGGGACGGGGAGGCCCCGCGCTGCCCCAGCCCCTGCGCCTGCAGCCTGGACGATTACAGCGAGGAGCTGAACGTGTTCTGCAGCGGCCGCAACCTCAGCCGCCTGCCCGAGGACGTGCCCCACAACGCCAAAGCGCTGTGGCTGGACGGCAACAACTTCACGGTGCTGCCGGCCGCAGCCTTCAGGAATCTGTCAGCCCTGGATTTCCTGGACCTGCAGAGCAGCCAGCTGGGCTCCGTGGAGCAGCACGCCTTCCACGGGCTGCGCAGCCTCTACCACCTGCACCTGGAGCGCAACCGCCTCAGGCACCTGGCCCCGCACACCTTCCTGCACACGCAGAACCTCGTGTCCCTCAGCCTCAACAACAACCACTTCAGCAAGGTGGAGGAAGGGCTCTTTGCAGGGCTCTCCAACCTCTGGTACCTCAACCTGGGCTGGAACTCGCTGGTGGTGCTGCCCGACAAGGTGTTCCACGACCTGCCCAACCTGAGGGAGCTGATCCTGGCTGGCAACAAGCTGCCCTACCTCCAGCACCAGCTCTTCTGCAGCCTCACCGAGCTGAAGGAGCTGGACCTGAGCGGGAACGCGCTCAAGGGCATCAAGATCAACATCTTTGTCAAGCTGCAGAAGCTGCAGAAGCTGTACCTGAACCACAACCAGATCAACGCCATCGCCCCCCGCGCCTTCATGGGCATGAAGTCGCTGCGGTGGCTGGACCTGTCCCACAACCGCCTGGTGCAGCTCTACGAGGACACCTTCCTGGGGCTGCTGAGCCTGCACGTGCTGCGCCTCTCCACCAACTCCATCGCCGGCCTGAGGCCCAGGACCTTCAAGGACCTGCAGTTCCTGGAGGAGCTGCAGCTGGGCCACAACCGGATCCGGGGCCTGGCCGAAAGGAGCTTCGAGGGGCTGGGCCAGCTGGAGGTGCTGAGCCTCAACAACAACCAGCTGCAGGACATCAGGGCCGGGGCCTTCCTGGGGCTGCACAACGTGGCCGTGATGCACTTGTCAGCCAACTGCATCAAGGTGCTGCCCGACTTTGTCTTCAAGGGGGTCACCAAGCTGCACAGCCTCCACCTGGAGCACAGCTGCGTGGGCAGGATCCGGGCCAACACCTTCTCGGGACTGTCTAGCCTGCGGCGCCTCTTCCTGCAGCACAACAGCATCTCCCTGATCGAGGACCAGAGCTTCAGCGACCTGCACGAGCTCCTGGAGCTCGACCTGAAGCACAACAGGCTGAGCCACCTCTCGCCCCGGCTCTTCACGGGGCTGAGCAACCTGGAGTACCTCTTCCTCTCCTCCAACCAGCTCCTGGACATCTCCCAGGACACCTTCAGCCCTCTCCAGAGACTCTTCTGGCTCGACCTCTCCCACAACCAGCTGGAGACACTGGACAACAGCGTCATCTCGCCCCTGGCCAACCTGCGGTACCTCAGCCTGAGGAACAACTCCCTGGAGACCTTCTCGGTGTCATTCCTGTGCCCTCCCTTCTCCCTGGAGCAGCTGTGGCTGGGGGGCAACAACTGGCACTGCAACTGCTCGCTGAAGGGGCTGCGGGACTTCTCGCTGCAGCACCCGGCCGTGGTGCCGCGCTTCGTGCAGTCGGTGGCCGAGGGCGACGACAGCCACGTCCCCATCTACACCTACAACAACCTCACCTGCCTGCAGCCGCCGGGCCTGGCGGGGCTGGACCTGCGGGACACTGCCCAGGAGAGCTTTGCTCACTGCTGAGCTGGGCTGGCCCTCCCAGGGACCTCACCCCGGCCCTGTGCCACCCCAGCCACAGCACACATTTGCCACCACCTCGCTCAGAAGGTGCTGGATGGGCACCAGCCCCCCCTGGGCTTCAAACTGAGTATTTCAGTCCTTTCATATTTAAATAGCAGCCCCCAGGGCAGAGCATGGTTGCTCCCAGCTCCCGGCAGGAGAATCTCTGGATGGGGGAATGCTGCACCCCCAGCGCTGCAGCCACAGCAAGGGGCAGCCCTGCCCAGGCCAGGACTTTTATGAGACAAAACAAAGCGTTTTCCTGCCATGGAGCAGCAAAAAAAGCCCCCCCCCGAGTTCAGGGAAGGGGCAGAGGACTTGCTGCAATGATTCCTTGCAGCAGCAGGTGTAGGCAGGGCACTCGTTGCTCACCTGATAAATGGCAGCAGACAAATAAACCTTTGGAGCTATTGCAACCCACCTTGTAAGTTATGTTTTTTCCAAAGCTCGTGCTGCCCACGGCCAGAATTTCTCCCCAGAGCCCCTCAGGTGAGGGATTCAGGCTCCCAGGGGGCTCCCAGCATGTCCTGCAAGCTTTGGGGGGGGGGGGTGTTTGTTCCCAGGGAGGGAGCAAGAAATGCCCAGCTACCCCACAGAAGCCAACAGCCCTGACAGATTGCAGCTACTGCCCAGCTCTCCAAATCCCAGATAAGTGTCCAAAGGTCAGACCAAATTTTCCAGGAAAATTGCACGAGGGGAAAGCTGCTGGGGTGTGGGTCCTTGTGCAGTGGGAGCAGGGCTGGGTGCTGCTCCTTCTCCTGCCTGCTGGAATCTCCTCAGTGGAAATCCAGGATTTCCCAAAACCTCAGTGAGGGGGAGCCCCAAAGGCAGAGAGGGAGGCAGGCAGGAGGGCTCAGAGTCCAGGAGGGAGGGAGGTGAGATGCAAGGCCACCACCTTCACTGCTTCTCCTCAAGCCTGCAAGAGGAGGGCAGCTCCCATGGGAAGAGGTGCAGGGAACAGGACACTGGGAAGTGACAGAAGCAGGAACCAGCTGGGGACACAGAGGAGCCCCAGGCTGGGGAACAGCTCCATGAAGGGCTGCCAGGGCTGGCTCACAGCAAGACAGATCCTGATGCTGTTATAGGAGAGATTTAGCTGAATTCCAGCAGGGAAACCAGGGAACAGCAGGAAGCACCTTGATGTATGTGAAGGGCCAAGACTCAGAGATACAGCAAGGCCTGAAGCCATGGAAAAACAGAACTTTGCAGACCTGCATTTTAAGAAAAGGTTTTACTGCCTGGAACCTTGAAAAACATTCCTGAGTCACAGAAGCCCAGCAGGCCCGAGGGCTCCTTCCCAGCACGATGGGATGCAGCTCCCAGCCAGCTCCTGGAGGAGTTTGCTCAGCCCAGCCAGGGTGTGCTGTGCCCTCATGACCCATCAGGGACCAGGGAGCTGAGAATTCCAAGCTCAGGGCCTCGCCTGGCTCCACAGGGAGCACCCAGCACGAGCCAGCCCTGTGTGATCCATCAGGCAAGGGCAGCAGGAGAAGGCAGCAGCACATGGAGGATCAGGTGGTCAGAGCCATGTGGGAATGCTCAGGGAAGAACAGCACTGGACACTGCAGCTCCAGAGTGTCTCTGAGTCTGAGGGGATGTGGCTTCTTCCCTCTGGGACTGCCAGCAGCAGCAGGAATCTGTGCTCCCCCCTCACACCCCAGTTTAACAGTTCCTGCAGTCCCTTCCTGCTGCTGGGGCTGCCAGTGTGGCACCAGTCCAGCTCCACAGCCTCCTCAGGAGCTCCTCTGCGATGTGTCCAAGATCTGCTGGGCAATGTGAGTCAGGGCAGGGAAGGCAGAGCTCTTGGGAAACTCTTGGATGAAGTCTCTGCCTTCTTCCAAGCTCTGGCTGAGCTGGGGGTCCAGGGGGACACAGCCTGTGGGGCAGACAGGGAGAGTGAGAGCTGGCTCCCTGCAGGGCCCAGGTCTGCAGGCAGGGATAAAACACACACTGCCCAGTCAGCTCCAGGGAAAATGGTGGGGAAGAGCCACCACTGCCCTCCCTGGGCTCTCCAGGAGATCATTCTCACCTGCAACCCCTTCCTCTGGCTCCAAGAGCCCACCCCACCCTGGTGCTTCATGAGAGGGGCTCTCCCACCTGATCCCAGCCCTGCCCAGGGACAGGGCTCAGCCCTCAGCCCCCATTTCTCAGGAAGGCTCCAGACATTCCAACGTGGCTCTCATGGAGCTCCAGGCCTGTTTACACTGTCACCACAATGCCAGCACTCAGAGCAGGCTGCTGGCACCTCTGCCCCAGCAGGGCCAGGGGCCCACCCTGACGAGTTTGGATGGCAGAGAAGCAAAGCACAAACCTCAGCTCAGCTCCCAGCCCAGCCCAGCTGCTCCTGGGATGTTCTTTCTCTGTGCTCAGCCCTCCCAGAGCACGAGCAGAGCTCTGCTGCAGAGCCACTCACCCAGGAAGGGCACCCCGGCGTGCTTGGCCAGCTCCTCGCCTCCCCCTTTGGAGAAGATGTTTGTGCATTCCTGAGGAAGAGGAGTGAGTCAGGAAGGCCAGAGCCCTGTGGGACAGGGCAGGAGCTGCCAGCCCTGAGCAGGGCCAGCTCCCCTCCACCCTGCAGCCCCAGGCATGCCCTGTGCCCTGCCCTGCGCTCTCCTCAGCACAGCAGAGCACAGAGCTGGCTCACAGCATCACCTGGTGCCACTTCCCAATTCCCCACCCCAGCACCCCAAGAAGGGCCCAGAGCAGCCCCAGGGCTGCACAGGAAGGTCAGCAGAGCTCACAGAGCAGTGGGGGCACACGAAGCCGCTCATGTTCTCCACGATGCCGAGGATGTGCAGCCCTGCCTTCCTGCAGAACGTCAGCTCCCGCCTCACGTCCCCCACGGACACAGCCTGGGGGAACAGCAGCACTTGGGGATCCCTCTGGGCACCCTGTGCCTCCAGAGCATCCACAGCCAGCCCTGTGCACACCTGGGGGTGCATTTTCCCCCTGCCAGGAATTCCAGCCCCGTGTCCCACCTGAGGGGTTGTGACCAGCACTGCCCCCAGCAGCTGGTGGGGCCTCAGGGCCTCCACGGTGGAGATGTGCTCATCAGATGTGCCTGGTGGTGTGTCCACAATGAGGAAATCCAGATCCCCCCAGGCCACATCGGTGACAAACTGTTTGATCAAAGCTGTGGGAATAAAAGGGACAGATAAAAAAACCCCCAAACCACAACTGGTTCAGCAGGTGGCTTGGGAGCCATGGGACAGGAGAGGGGACAAGGCTGTCTGTCAGCATGCTGCACTGTCCCCATCTGAGTGACTTTAACCCATTCCTTCGTTCCCCCAAGGAATACCCTCTCCAGGAGGGCTCACAGGGGGTTCCCCCAGCAGCAATTCCTGGTGTTACCGTTTTTCTTGGGTCCCCTCCACACCACGGCGTCGTCGGGGCGCTCCAGCAGGAATCCGATGGACATGAGGGCGATGGCCTTGTCCTGGCCCACGAACACGGGCACCCAGCCACTGTCACACTGGTGCACAGCGCTGTCCTGCACCCTCAGCATGCGTGGGATGCTGGGGCCACACAGGTCCACGTCCAGGATGCCCACCTGGGGACAGGCACAGCCCCTCAGACAGGCTCAGAGCCCCCGGCCACCCCGCTTCCACAACAGCCACGTTTGAAAAACACAAATGTTTTAAATTTCATCTCCCTCCTGACCTCCTGCTCCCCAAGGAGCATCCCCTGCGTGTTTCCAAGTGCTTTATGCCAGAACCCAAGTGGCACAGGCTGCACAGAGCCTTTAAAAAGGTCCTCAGGGAATTCAATGTCTCCTGCCCACACACTTCCTTTGTATCCCCATTTTAAGAGTCCTTGAGCTGAGCTCACCCACTTCACCCCACAGAGGGAGTGAGGGTGACAACACAAAGCAGCCAAGTCATGTCCCAGTGCCAATTTCAACACTAAATATTGGGTGATTTAATAAAATAGACAAAGAGAAATGAGCTGCAGTGCCTGAACTGGATCACACCGTCACAGAGAACCCACACGCTGCCCACCAAGGACACCCACATGGAAAGGGTGGGCAGAACCCAGCCCAGCTGAGGGCAGGAAGGGCCAAGGCAGAGCTCAGCACCCCAAAGGTTCACTCACCCTCTTCCCAGCGTGCCGCAGAGCCAGGGCCAGCTCAGTGGAGAGGGTGCTCTTCCCAACGCCGCCCTTCCCTGACAGCACCAGCACGATGTGCCGCACCCCGGCCAGGTTGGCTCTGTCTGCAGGGGGACACAGAGCCATGGAATGTCCTCAGAGGGGAGGAACCCCAGGGATCATCCAGCCCAGCCCCTGGCACTGCACAGACCCCCCAACAATCCCACCCTGAGATCATTATCCAAGCACTCCTGGAGCTCTGGCAGCCCCGGGGCTGTGCCCATTCCCTGGAGAGCCTGGGCAGTGCCAGCACCCTCTGGGGGAAGAACTTTCCTGATGCCCACCCTGACCCTCCAGCCATTCCCTGTCCCAGAGATCAGAGCTGCCCCTCAGGAGGAGCTGCAGCCCCGTTGAGCTCTGCCCTCAGTGTAAGGCAGTGGGAAAGAAGAGGTGGACATGCCACAGGCTTTTTGTCATCAGAACAGGGACAGAGGGAACAATGGCAATAAACACCGTGTGTGGGGAGCAAAGGCTGGTCCGGATGACCTAAGTGGAAATTGGGCAGCAGAGCAATAAACACGGGGCTCGTGAGGCTGAGCCGGGCCATGGCCCGGGGCTGACGGTGAGCTCAGGCCCTTGGCGTTTCCTCTCTCCGTGCCACACCAGTCGCTTCCTGCCGGCCCCTGCTCCTCTCCAGCCCTCCCCGCATTCCCCACTGTGCTCTCAGCGCTCCCGGCTCTGCTTCGGCCTCAGCTCCCCGGAGCAGGAGCGCTCGGGATCGGAGCCCCCGGTGCGGGGCAGCACAGGGGAGGCCGGGCCGCTCCAGCCACAGCCGGCGAAGGCCCCGACACGGACGGGCCCGGACTGGACACACCGGGGCTGGGCTGGCCCGGCAGCAGCGGCACCGGCGGCATGGAGCCCGCACGGACCATGGCAGAGCTCATCAGCACCTCCGCCGACGGTAAAGGCCACGGGCCCGCACCGGGGAGGGGGAGAAGGGGCCGGGGAGGGCAGACGGGGCCTCGCAGCGAGGCGCGCCCGGGACACCGCCCGGTGACAGCCGCAGCCCGGGCCGGGCCCGCTAACATGGCGCTGTCTGCCGCGGGAGCCGGGCCCGGGCCTCGGGCAAGGCTCAGCGTCACCTCCCGGTAAGCGGTGCCCGCGGCTAAGGGAGCCCGGCCCGGCCCAGCGCTCCCTCACCAGAGTCGGGCCGAACACCGCGACACCGGCTCGGCCCGAGCACCTCGGAACTCCGCGGAGCCGGGTCCTGACCCCCCGCCAGGCCGGGTCATTCCGGCTGGGACGCCCCCCGAGAGGCAGGTAGGGCCCCCCAGGCCGAGCCCCCGGATCCCGGTTTCCCCCGGCCGCGGCCTCCCCGCCGCTCACCCCCGGCCGTCTCCTCCATGTTGCCTCCCCGCATCACCCGCTTCCGTCTTCCTTCAGCACACGGCCCGCCCTTTCTGACTGACAGGTGTTATGTCCAATCGCAAGGCGCACTTTCACCGGACAACCCGCCCTCCAGAGCTTTACAGCCAATCTACATCTCGTGCTCCCTTCGCAACACCCAATGGGCTTAGTGCTTTCCCTTCGCGAGCGGCCGCCCAATGGCGCCGCTCTCTGGCGATTGGCACACTGAACAGCCAATAGAGCCGGGCTCTTTCAGACCCCGCCCCCTTCGTCCTCCTCCGCGTGTGAGTGACAGAGGGCTCAGCCAATGGCGATGGAGCACGGCGCGGCGGCAGCCAATGAGCGCTCGAGGGCGGTGCCGGGAGGGGATTGTTTATGTCCCGGGAGAGGAAAGTAGGTCAGAGCGCCGCGGGCCGGGCCGGGCCAGTGCTGGGCCGGACCGGGTCAGACCGGGCAGGTGAGCTGGGGGCTCGGGGCACGGGCCGGAGCTGGGAGCCGCGAGCCGGGGTTGGAGTTTGGCTGAGGGCGGGCCGGGGCTGTGCGACCCGAGCGCCGTGGCCTGGCCTGGCCCGGCCCTGTCCGGAGGCCTCAGCTGGCAGCACAGCCGGGCTGCGCTGCCCGCCCTCGGTGGAGCCGCTGTCTCCGCGGCCCGGGAGCCGAGCCGGGCCGGGCCGGGCTCCCCGCCGTGGTCCCCCCGCGCCGCTTGGTCCCGGGGCTGTGCGGGTCACGCCTCGGGCCCCCGGAAAGGCCTCAGCCAGCCCAGAGAGGGGTGAGCGGCTCTTGGTGGCAGCGCTGCCGTGACAGCGGGAGCGGGACAGGGACCGGCCCTGTGCTGGCACTGCTGAGACAGCTCCGGTCCTGGGACAGCTCTGGTCAGGCCGGACACTGAGGGGCTGGAGGGGTCCAGGGAAGGGAACAGAGCTGGGAAGGGGCTGGAGCGCCAGGAGGGGCTGAGGGAGCTGGGAAGGGGCTCAGCCTGGAGCAAAGGAGGCTCAGGGGGGCCCTTGTGGCTCTGCACAGCTCCTGACAGGAGGGGATGGTGGTGGGTTGGGCTGTGCTCCCAGGGAAAAGGGACAGGACAAGGGGGAGCAGCCTTAGGCTGGGCCAGGGGAGGGTCAGGTTCGATACTGAGAAAATTTCTTCATGGAAAAGGGGATCAGGCACTGGCACAGCTGCCCACAGGGCTGTGGTGGAGTCACCATCCTTACATGGTTCCGTGGTGGCCTCAGCAGTGCTGGGGGAATGGTTGGACTCATTGATCCAAGAGATCTTTTCCAGCCATAACAATTCCATGTCTGACTCTGCCATTGGTGCTGGGATCTCTGTGCTGGATCTGAGTCCCAGCCTTAGTGAGGGCCTGAGGGAGCAGGGCAGCTCTTTAATTGTCACTTCTACACCTGCCAGAGTCCTGGGTTGTTCTTCTCCTCTTGCAACCCCTGACCCTGGAAGGGCAGGAAGGAAACTCCTGCAGCTCCAGCTGCACAGAGAGCTGGGAGCAAGGCCTGAGGCTGCTGTGTGCCCAGAGCCCAGAGTCTGCAGCCCTCCCTCCCCTTGGTGCCCTGTGCAGGCTGCCCTAGAACAGAGACTGAACACAGTTACAGAATAAAGCAGGGATTTGTTAGGAGGCCTCAATGGATCCACCTTGGGCAGCACAAGAGCCCAGCCAGGGCTGCACCCAAGGTGAACCAAAATAGTCACAAAATGCACAGAGTCACAGGGTCTCTCACTTTTATAAGTTCTGCTCCATTTGCATATTGGAGTTAATTGTTCAATTCCAGCTTTAGCCCATGCAGTCCCATCCTGCTTGTTTTTCTCTCTTCAGTCCATATTGTTTATGCTCTTGGGCCTGAGAGTTGGATCATTTGTCCTTGATCCCCAGCTAGAGAAGGAATTGTTTTGTCTCCCTGCTCTGTGCAGAGAGCTCACCATCCCCTAATGTGAGGCTCAGAGTTACACACTAAAGCAGCACTGAATCTCAAAACTATAAAAGCTAAAACCTGAGGCCTCACTTCCCTTTTGTCCTTGAGGCAAGTTGAGGCAGGTCTGGCACAATCCTGGTTTCCTTCCAGTGTGCAGGAAAGTGATTTCTCTTCCTCTCCAAGCACTGAGAGCAAAGTCTTCCATCAGAGGGCAGCTGCAGGTGGGACACCCTCCCCTGGACACAGCCAGGCTGCAGGGGCTGGGGCAGTGCAGGTGGGCAGCATTCCCTGGGGACAGACAGGCTGCAGGGGCTGGGGCAGGAGCCAGGACAGCTGCTGCAGGATCACTGGGCACCAGGGGGGCTGTGTCTTGGGGCAGCCTGGGACTGTGGAAGGTGTCTCTGCCCATGGCAGGGAGTGGATGAGATGAGCTTGAAGGTCCTTCCAACCCGAAGGACTCTGATTCTGACAGCCCTGAGGCTCCCCAGGCCAGGTGGGAGGTGGCTGCAGGACCCAGTTCCTGCAGAGGGGCAGCTGCTGCCACCACAGCTGGATGTTGGGAACGTTCGTGGGGCCACCTGAACACTGGCTAAGGGAGGAGTTGACCCTGGGTGGAGAAAGAGGTTGGAACTTTGCAGAGGCTCTTCATGGGCATGGAACTGTGATGGTGTTCACAGGGGTTCTTGGGTTGGGGAAGAGAGGATCTGACTCCGTGTTTCAGAAGGCTTGATTTATTATTTTATGATATATATTATGTTAAAACTATATTAATAGAAGACAAGGTTTCATCAGAAGGCTGGCTAAGAATAGAATAGCAAAGAATGATAACAAATATTTGTGGCTAGGGCTCTGTGTCCGAGCCAGCTGGACCATGATTGGCCATTTTATAAATATGGCCATTTTATATTGGCCATTTTATATATATATGGAAGTGACAATTCCAGCAGTAGAAACCCTTCTCCAGCTTTGCTGAGCACCCACAGCAGCCCAGCAGAGCTGCCCTGCTCCCCCAGGCCCTCACTAAGGCTAGGGCTCAGATCCCAGCACCAATGGCAGAGTCAGACATGGAATTGTTATGGCTGGAAAAGATCTCTTGGATCAACGAGTCCAACCATTCCCCCAGCACTGCCAAGGCCACCACTGACCCGTGTCCCCAATATATATAAGAATATAGAAACATCCAACGTGGGCTAATCACAGATGCACCTGTTGCATTCCACAGCAGCAGATAACCATTGTTTACATTTTGTTCCTGAGGCCTCTCAGCTTCTCAGGAGGAAAAATCCTAAGGAAAGGATTTTCCATAAAAGTTGTCTGCAACACAGAACTTCCTCTGCTGATCTTGTGCTGTTCCCCTGGGGCGTTTGGTGTCCCGGGGAGGTGCCAGGGGTGTGGCAGAGGTGTGGCAGCAGTGTAACCATCCCTGTGTTCCTCCCAGCCTACCTGCGTGGGGGCAGCATGGCGCGGCGCCCGCGGAGCAGCCGGGCCTGGCGCTTCGTGCTGAGCGGGGTGCGGCGCGAGGCCGACGGCCGGGCCGGAGCGCGGGGCTGGGGCTACGACTCTGACGGCCAGGTAGGATGGGCTGGGGGCTCTGGGTGCCATGGGGGTGTTATCTCATTGCAGGGGGTCCATGCTGGTGGCTCCTTATTGCAAAAGTTTCATATCTTCTGTTGGGGAAGATGAAACAGGGAAAGCCTTATAGATATGATTGTCTGGCAAAAGATTTTGAGAATATGGAAACTATAAGTGAGATTGAAATGAAAGCAAGCTTTGAGATACCTCAGTTACTGAACAACTGGAAAACAATGGCATGGCCAGCTGAAGGTAATCTCCTTTTGGTGAAACAACACCCTCTGCTTGCAGACAGGCCCAAGGGTCAGAGCAGACCCTGCCAGCTTGGCAGAAGGGGCCCAAAGAGGAGTTTATAGGGTTTAAAATGTAGCACAGTATGGTAATGTAATGTTTCTTGTAGGCTGTATGGAAATGCTATAGAATTTGTATATTATACTAGATTGGTTAGTGAGAATTAGAATATTCAACACAGAAGAAGATTTATTGTATTGTAACGGGAACCTCGCTCTCTTACCCGTTTTACTCTCACCTTTTCTACTCCCTTACGCTCTTACCCTCTTACCCTCTCATCCTCTCTCCCCCTCTCTTCTCTCAGCCTGCTCTGAGCTGTGGCTGCAGCTCCCAGCAGGGCCCTGCCCCCAGGTCCTTTGCAATAAACCCCAAGTTCCTGACCTGGCTGCAGAGATCTCTGTCTCTGTCCTGACCATCCTACCCCCCAATGCTCCTACACCTTCTTAGTGTTTTCTCATGGGTGGCTCCTCTGAGCACTGACTCTTTCTTCTTAAAGCAGCCAACTGACCCCAGTTCCCTTCTCAGCCAGCCACCCCACTCTTTTATAGCATCTTCTTCTCATTGCTTACAGTGTGGCCTGTTAAAGTCAGACCTGCTCCTAATCTTTGATAATTGGCCCAGGGATAAGATCACTTTCTACACTATCTTTATTTTCTTATATTATCCCCCTACAACAGGGGGCGTTTGCCTGCCCCTGATACCCAGTCTAAACTGGCCAAAAGCAGCCAGGATTCAGTAATGGTCAGTATTGATACTAAACTAAAAAGTTTTTCAAGCATAGAATGGGTGTGTCATACATAAAATACATATAGTATTTTTATGTTGTCGTTAGGTTGGATGTGACACACACATGATCAGGGTCCAAGAAGAAAAAAGTTTTTTATTTTGTGTGTTCTGTAGCTTATATACTTTTAACCAAGCATGATCTTAAGTCATTAACTACATCACAACAACTTATTATATTCATTGGTGCAAAGCAATTAGCATCAATATAATTGGCAAAAGTTTTACAGACATTTATTAAGGCACATATACACATCTACTTATGCATGTAGTCTAGCTTATAAAAAAATTAATGTATCTTTTCTAATCTCTTTCTATGCTGATGGCCTTATTTTCTTTGCTATGGATACACCTGACAATCATCAATTGTTATTTCTTCTATTAACTCAGCTTTGCTTGCAGGCCAGCTGTCAAGCCCCTCCATATTTTTATAATTTTTTTTGGAAGCAGAGCTGTATATAAGTGTTTGAAGTGGA